GCACGCCTTTCCAGCAGGAGCCTCCTCCACCAAGGTAGGGCCCGGCCTTCCGTAGCGGGCGGGGGTCTGAAGGGCCTTGAGACTCCCCAGGCCAGTGACCGCATGGGTCCCTGCCTGGCCTGGGGTTACCTACGGGGCTGCCGGTTCTGGGCCTCAGTGCGTATCACCTCGGGCGCAGAGCCCGCTCCCCTTCCACCTGCGCATGCGATGTGATGTGCAGGAGACACCTGCCTTTCCCAGAGCGCGGCCGTCGGCACTGTCTGCGCTGTGCACACGCTTCCCGCCACGTGCCCCATCGATCCTTGTCGCAGCCCTAGAGGCAGATTTCCTTGGCTTGTTGTAGGCGAGGAGAACTGAGGCACAAGTCCTTCAGGGTGGGTCTGAGCACTGAGGGGTCTTCGTGGATCTGGGCCCAAGGGCCCTGGGACACCATTATGGGCAGGAGGGACCGAGTGTGGTGCAGCCGCTGCCGCGTGTCCTGACGTCTCACAGAGTGGTGCCTCTTGTGGCTCTGGGTGGTCTCCAGGAGCCTGGGGACAGCTCGAAGGCCACAGCCCTGCCAGTGCCTGAGCGGGAACCCACCCACGCCCGGCCGGCCTTCATCCCTGCCTTTATGTCAGCTTTTCCTTAGCACAAACACGTTATGTGGGGTTTTCTCTTGTTAGGAAAGTGATTCCTGGTCATTTCAGAAAATTTTGCTAAATTGTGTCCGTGATTAGGGAAGCAGCTTGTGTCTGGAAGGACACACAGGGACTGCCAGTCACGGGGCCCCATGGCCCTGGGCTCCCTTCCAGCCTTCCCAGGTGCATGCACAGAGACAGCCCGTGCAGTGGGACTGCACATCTTACAACGCCGAGCTCAGGGTGTTTGGTAACCTGTTTTTCTGTGTAGTTTGCTATAGGGTGCTTGTGCTTGCCAGAGACAGAGAGGGAAAGTGAGAAACCACCCCCAGGGGGATGGTCATGCTACGATCCTTTCTCCTCCACTCTCCCCTTGGGATTTTGGGTGTGCCTGGCATGATTTTCAAGCCGCTGGATCCAGGACTCCAGCTGCGCAGTTGGCCGTGTGGGCTTCGGTACCTTACCCCTCCACACGCCAGCTGGCTCCTAACCTAATTTGTAAACTTCGTTAGCATAGTTCTCTGTCTGTTCCACCTGAGGGCCAGCGGCAGGAATTGCACTGAGATTCGGATGGCTCTCCTTCTAGGCACAGGGGCCTCCACTCCTTGCTTCCCTGTCTACATGACCAAGCGTGTCATGCCAGCAGGGGGAGTGAGACAGCATTTGCACAGCAGTGTCGTGTGAGGGACCACAGTGGAGCCCACAGATGGCTACGGCCATCCCTGTGCACACACGTTTTTGCCCATCTTCACCTGCAGTTCGGTGTTTTTTTTTTTTTTTTTTTTTTTTTTGAGAGCTTTTTTTTCACGTGGGGCAGCGTAGAGAAAGCGAGAAATCAGCCCCCAGGGGGGATGGTCATGCCACAATCCCTTCTCCTCCATTCTCCTCTTGGGATCTTGGGCACGCACGCACACACACCTGGCATGAGTTTTAAGCCACTGGGTCCAGGACTCGAACCGCGATCAACTACGTGGGAGTCTAGTAACACAGCCATCATGCTAACTGCTGGTTCCCAGTTTGGTTTTTATGGGAAACGGTTGCTCTCTTGAAGAGGACGGCGTGGCCTGGGCCTGGGTGTCTCCTGGTGCACATGGTACCTTGTTCCCTGTGGGTATCAGGACACACAAGGGGTCAATGAAGTTATGTTCCTGCCTCTGTCCCTGTGTTCATGTGTCTTTGTTGGTAGCTTGGGCCACTGTTCCTGCTCTGCATGGCTGGGCAGAGCTCATGCCTGGGGCATCCCAGGCCTGGCCACCTCCACATGGGCTGGTGGCTCTGGACCCCACAGGGAGCCGCAGTTGTCCTCTCAGTGGTCTCGTGGATGCAGGGAAGCTGGCTGACCTGTGAAGTTCTGTGCCTTGTCTTACTTGGAATGAGGGTCTTTCTGTCCACACTGCATGGTGGTGTAGTTTCTGGACAGGAGGCTCTGAGGAGAGGTGTGCTGGGAGGCTAGGCCCAGAACGAGTGGCGGTCTGGCACGTCTGTGGTCTGTGTGCACACCGGCCCCGGCAGCTCTGCGGGTGGGCGGGCCATCCACCCTCAGCACTGGGGACCTAGCCTGGCCTGGGCGGAGCTGATGGCTGAGCCCCAGCGCACCCCTGCTCTGGGCCAGCCACGTCTCCCTGCGCTTTCTTCAGCCTCTGATAATGAACTGCTCTCATTTTCCCCGATGTTCTTGGTAGGAAAAAACGCCCCAGAGCGCTCGGGGTTACCGAAGGGCTGTCTTCTGTACAAAACCCTCCAGGTGCAGATGTTAGACCTGCTGGACATCGAAGGCCTCTACCCTCTGTACAACCGGGTCGAGCGGTACCTGGAGGAGTCTCCTGAGGAGAGGTGAGGCCAGTGTAGCCCCCCTGTCCTGGGCTCCACCCCAAGTGGAGACCATGAAGGTGGGCCAAGTCAGGGTCACCCCTGCAAGAGGACAGAACAGGCTTCCTAGGAGGACAGCACATACCTGCCACTGCCCCCAGCACTACCCCAGGCTCCAGGACTCAGCCTGGGAATTTGGAGCCTTGGGAGGGAGGCCCTGGAGCTGTGGGCTGCAGGTCTGTGCAGCAGCAGGGCCAGGACTGCAGGGGGCAGTGTCGCTCCACGAGCCTAGCTCCTGTTCCCACCAGATCGCCAAGCCCTTCCACTGGTTGGGCCTGGGTCCCTGGGCTCACATGGGCTGTGGCTGCACAAACATGGCATCTGGGGACCTGGAGCGCCTCTTTCCTGGGCTTGGCCTCAGGGCTGCCTAGAGTCCAGCCCTGCCCGGCTCTGAAGCCATGACGCTGCAGAGTCGAGTGTGCTGTGAGGGCCGTGTGGGGTGTCCTTTGAGATGCAGTGTGGGAGGTGGACATGGTGCCCTGGATGGCGAATCAGGTCCTGTTAAGCCGCATTTCCAGGCAGCTCGGTCATCCTGCCATTCTCTCTGCTTTCTCTTTCAGAAAAATGTTACAAATAGATGGGCCTTATGACGAGGCATTTTACCAGCAGCTGCTTGATCTTTCCACTGAGGACGACGGGACAGTGGCCTTTGCCTTGAGGAAGGTGGGCAGACCTGTGTGTATATCTTGGGCTCTCGGTGCCAGTGCTGCCCACTGCTTGCCCTGCTGGGGAACGGGACTGTGAGTGTGGGGCACTCAGGTTCCCCAAGGGACTGGGAAGGGGCAGGCGGTGGCTCTTCAGGAGGATACCTCCGCGCTCCCCTGCCCTTGCTCACCCCAGTGGGCAGCCGGGCCAGTGCAACCCCATCCCGATGGGGCCTGGGCTCGGGTTGGAGGAGGCCCACCCAGCATGGCCCATCTGCATTCCTCCCTGGAGCCCGGGCTTGGCCCTCACCCCTGCCACTGTGACTGTGCAGGGCAGGCCTGGGAGCAGCCTGGAAGCAGCCTGGAAGGGCCTCTGGGGCAGAGCCTGGTCCTTGACTTTTCTGGTTCAGTGAGAATCTGAAGGCCCAGGAAGTCGGATAGGTAAAAAGTTGTGTCTTTATTTTCATCGGCCTCTACCTGAGACATGTCATTTCCTTCCGTTCTGAACGTGGCTTTGGCCCTGTGTGGCTTTCCTGCCAAGAAGCGAGGCCTCCCACCTCTCCCTGGTTACAGATGCTCAAGGTGTGTACGTGCTCACACCGCCTTAGATGCAGCCGACCTGGGCTACGTGTTTCAGAACACATTGGCGCAGCAGGTGGCACAGTGGTGAAGGTGCTGGATTTCCACATGGCTGATTGTGGTTTGAGTCCCGGACCTGGTGATTTGAAAGTCACGCTGGGCACATGTGCACGCATGCCCAAGATCGCAAGAGGAGAAGGGGTTCCAGCATGGCTGTCCCCCCAGGGGGTTATTTCTCTTTCCTTCTCTCTGTCTCTGGCAAATACACGTACTCTGTGGCAAAAGCCTAAAGAATGTATTACAATAACTATTCTGTCACCGTAGTTTATTTTATGTGTTTAAAATGTTACCCTGAGAGCCTCTGGGTCCTGGTGCCAAAGGAGTTTTGGTTTTGTTGGTTCTCCTTCCACCCTACCTTGGCCGGCCTGGGTCCCAGGCACTTGTGTGTCCCCTGTGTGTCCAGGGAGGCCCCAGGATAGTTTCCTGGAAGTCAGAGACCCAATTGCCAAGATTGAACTGGGACTTCTGCACATGAGTCCGACTTGGCACCGCTGTGCTACCTCTGGCCTGAGGAAGCCCCGTTTTCAAGGCAGCCAGGCAATGCCCTTACCTGTCCTGTCGAACCTGTGGCCCCTGGTGAAGGCTGCAGCCATTTGTTAGGGCTGAGGACTGAAGAGAGCTCGTGGAGTCTGTGATGAACCTCTGAAGCCCAGGACCCCAGGGAAGTTAGCTGAGGCCTAGGCACAGCTGTCCTGAGGGGCAAGGGCATGTGATCCCCAAGGGGCCTCTGGGTCAGAATAAAACAGGCAGGTCTGCCCGGGTTGTCTCCTGCTGGGGGCAGTGACTTAGCAATAAACAGCAGCATTGCTTTTTTCCCCTAAAAGAAGAAACAGTATTTTATTTCCTTTTTTTTCTATTTAATTTTATCTGTTGTTATTTTTAAATTCTTAAAATTTGACCAGAGAAAGAGAGATCAGGGAAGTGAGAAAGTAAGCCCCAGATCTGGGACTCAGACCATGCTCAGCCATGTGGGAGTCCAGCCCCTTATTTCCAACATCTTTATATTTTTTTGGTTTTCCACTACATAAGCACAGATTACTTTTTTTTTTCCTTTTCTTTTAAAGGATTTTTGCTATAGGGTGTATATGATTTCTGGAGAGAGACAGAGAAAGAAAGTGAGAAGTCACCCCTGAGGGATGGCCATGCCATAGTCCCTTCTCCACTCTTGGGGTTTTGGGCATGCACATACTCGCTCCCGGCATGAATTTCAAACCACGGTCAGGCATGTGAGAGTTCAGCACCTTAACCACTATAGCGCCCGCTGGCCCCGGGCAGGTTACTTTGGAGTTGCTCTAAGCATTAAGCCCTACGGTAAATGCCATCTTACAGGAGACTGCTGCAGGCATGTGCAGCTGTTGCGATGGCCGGGTCAGATGCGACAGAAAGCCTGTTCTCACGCCTGGGCCGGGGATGGCTCTGGAAGTGGCCTAGCAGGTTGTCCTGCACGGCACTCCAGGTGCACCTTTCACAGGGCCCTCATAGGCCCGCGCTGGTGGGCGCCACCCCAGGGAAACCCAGGCGGCCCTCACCCCGCAACCTGCCCAGGAGTGCTCAGGGCAGCTTCACTTGTGACAGTGAAAATGCTTCTCAAGAGCTTAGAGCCTCTTGGCAGGTGGCCGGAGCCAGCTCGCCAGGTGGTGGGATATCCTTGGAGCTCAGCGGACACGGCACACATGGTTGTCAGGGAGCTTTTCTGAGCGACAGAGGCCACCCCAGGGGTTACATGCTTTGTGACGCTGTCTCTGTAACATCTGGAAATGTCAGATTCTCAGCTGCCCAGGGATGGTGGGGAGTTGGGAAGGTGGGTGGTTATGGAAGCTCCAATCGTGGGCCCCTGCGGCGATGGAACTGTTGTGTGTTGACTGTGGTGGATGCACGAACCTACATGTGATAGCACACACACATCCAGGCTTGTGGACGGGGTCCATGTTGCTGTCCTCACTGACACTGTGGTGTGGCCTTCCAGAGTGATACTGTTGGGGGTGGCTCGAGGGCCTTCCGTGGAATGTTGAGGGTCTGCTCCTCCCTCGGCCTCCCCAGTAGCTGCGACTGCAGGCGTGTGGCGGTAAAAGTCCTTTCAGGCAGACTTGATCTGAATCTTGTCCTTCTGGAGACAGAAGGGGACGTGGTCTCTGTTTCACTGCAATCCCAATGACTGGCCAGCGACTGAGGTGCAGATTCTAGTGCAAGCCTGGCAGCCTCTGTAAGGGCTGAGCAGCAAGCACTTTGGCCCTCTGGTCTCTGGGCAGCTCCTCACAACTCTGCCCTTGTTGAGCCTCAGACAAGATGTAAGCAAGCACAGTTCTGTCCCCGCAAAACTTTAAAACAGGTGGTGGAGGGACCAGCAGTTGGCGTAATGGCTATGTCGCTGAACTCCCATGTAGTTGACCGCGGTTCCAGTCCCGGACCCGGTGGCTTGAAACTCACGCTGGGTGCGTGTGCATGCATGCTCAAGATCCCAAGAGGAAAAAGGAGAAGGGATTGAGGCATGGCCATCCCCCCTGGGGGGTGATTTCTCGCTTTCTGTCTCTGTCTCTGTCTCTCTGGCAAGCGCACATGCCCTATAGCAAAAACCTCTCAAAAACAAAAATAGGTGGTGGGGTGCAGAGTGAATGGGATGCCAAGGCCAGCCCACACGGAACAGTTCTGGGTTCCTATCTGGCCACCTCCCTGAGGACCTGAGCCTCTGTGTCTGTGACTGGGGGCAAGCAGAACGAGGGAGGATCACAGTGGCAGGGCCCTGTGATGAGGGTGTATACTTTCTCTCTCTGTTTGTAGAAGAAATAAACTTTAAATAAAACAAAGTAAAAAAGAACTGATGGTGGGCTGGATTTGGCCTCTGGCCTGTGCACATCTATGTACTTTTTTTTTTTTTTTAAAGTTTTTTTCCCATAGGGTGTGTATACTCCCCAGAAGGAGACAGAGACAGTGAGAGGGAAGGTGAGACACCACCTCCCAGTGGGGATAGATGGCCATGGTGCAGTTTGTTCTCTTCCATTCTCCTCCTGGGATTTTGGGCATGAATGCACACATGCCTGGTGTGATTTTCAAGCTGCCAGATCCATGAACTGTGGTTGTCCTTGTGGGAGTCCAGCACCTTAACCACTATGCTATCTGCTAGCCTGACATCTGTGTACTTTTTGCTTGTGATATTTTTTTTTGTTTTTGCTTTAGTTTTATTTAGATTTTTTAAAAAAGATAATTATTTATTTAATTTTATTTATTCAGAGAGAGAGGGAAAGTGAGAAAGCGAGCCACCAGGTCCGGTATTTGAACCACAGTCAGCCATGTGGGAGTGTCCAACGCCTTAACCACCATGCCACCTGCTGGTCCCCAGTTTTATTTAGATTTTTGCCATAGGGTATGTGCACTTACCAGAGAGAGACAGAGACAGTAAGAAATCAACTCCTGAGGGGATGGCCATACTGCAATCCCTTCTCCATTCTCTTGCGATTTTAGACATGCACGCACACTTGCCCAGCATGATTTTCAAGCTGCTGGCTCTGGGACTTGAACCATGGAGTTGGCTGTTGGGATCCAGCCGCCAAAACCACACCACCTACTGGCCCAGTGTTGCTTTTTTTAAGTTGCCAGAGAGTGCATGCACTCACAGGAGAGAGAGGGAGTGGGGGAGAGCACTCCCAGGGGATGTGGCCCTATTGTGACTTGACCACAGTCCCTTCTCCACTTCTCCATCCTGTTTGGGTGTATATATATATATATATATTTTTTTTCTTTTTTTGGAAGAGGTTTTTGCTAGAGGGCACGTGTGCTCTCCAGAAACACAGAGAGAGACAGAAAGTGAGAAATCATCCCCCAGGGGGGGATGGCCACGCTGTAGTCCCTTTTCTTCCATTCTCTTCTTGGGATCTTGGACTCACACGCACAGGTGCCCGGTGTGAGTTTAAGCCACCGGGTCCAGGACATGAACCGTAGTCAATTACATGGGAGTCTAGCGACATAGCCATTATGCTAACTGCTGATCCCACCCTGTTTGGATTTTGAGCACACCCACGTGCCTGGTGTGTTTTTCGAGCCGCTAGGGTTGGAGTTAGAATCATGGTTGGCCATGTCATCCGGCTTCTCATAACTACCAGGCTACGAGGCTGGCCCGTCATGTCTGTTTTAATTCATTTTTTTCTCTACTCGTTAGCAAGCGACACCTGTTCCTCTCCTCTTTGTGGCACTGTTTATCTGCACCAGTGAAGTTCAAAGGTCAATTATCTGACACCCCTGTTCCCACATTCTGTGAGGGTTTGGGACTCTTCATTCCAGCTGTCTCAATACATGGAATTATTGTTTGGTTGTTTGTTCTGTTTACTTTCTTAATTTTGCCAAGAGGTGTGTGTGTCCACGGGAGAGAGAGTGAGTAAGAGAGGGTACGTGAGAAAGCACCCCTCGTCGGGGGTGGTCACACCTCCGTTTTTCTTCCTTTCCTGTTGGGACCAGCAGATGGTATAGCGGTTATGTTGCTGGACTCCCAGGTAGTCAACCGCAATTTGAGTCCCAGACCCAGCCTTAAAACTCATGCTCTGTGTGTGTGTGCGTGTGCCCAAGATCCCGGGAGGAGAATGGAGGAGAAGGGATTGCAGTGTGGCCATGCCCCTGGGGGGTGATTTCTCGCTCTCTGTCTCTCCAGTGACCACAAATCCCCTATAGCAGAAAATCTCTCTAAAAGAAAAAAAAAGATTGGGCCTGCGTGCACGTTTTTCAAGCCATAAGGTCTGGGATTTGGACTCCTCCGTTGGTCGTGTGGGATAAGCCGCCTCACCCACTGCGCCACGGCTGGCCCTGTCTTGTTATTTATGCAGTGTCCCAGTCCAGGTATCACTGCACGGACACTTGCTTAGTGTCCGCATGTTTATCCACGGTGCTGTCCAGCGCCCTCTCTGGCCTTGCATTTTTCGTTCTGTCCCCTGCGGCCCGATTGAGAAGCACCTTCCGTGCTGCAGTTGCCCGCCCCCGTGTACAGTGGGGTTCCTCCGGCCTCACAGGTCTGTGTAGCCACCGCAGGTCGTTTCAGAGGGTTTTCGTCATGCCGCAGAGTCCCCGCGCCCTGTCACTCCCATCCACCGTCTGCCACTGCTTCCTGTCCAAGTCTGCTTTCCCTCCCCAGCTCTGCCTGGACCCCACACGTGATGGAGTCACTAACTGTGGTCGACTGGGGCTGGGCTCTGGAGCTGCTCCATCACCGGCCATTGCTTTTCACGGCTCAGGGGCCTCTCATTGCCATTGGGCATTTGGATTGTGGGTCACTGGTGTTCTAGAAGTTTGTATGCGAGTTTTCATGTAGACCTGTGTTTCTCTGGGGTATATTCCTAGCAGCAGAATTGTCGGGTCCAGGGGCAACTTGAGATTTAAGTTTTTGAGGAACTGCAGCAAGTACAGTACCCCGAGTAATAGACTTCTTGTTAGGCTTGAACCCTGAAGGCTTCACTGTATCTGACTATCAGGTACAGAATATAAAATATCCTCATAAATTGCTTAAAATGAAATGTAAAGCAACAACTAGAGAAATACCAAGGAGGTATAAAAAAAAACCAAAAGGACATTTTTAGAAACTAAAAATGTAACTGTTGCAATGGAAAGTTCAATGAACAAATGAAACAGTAGACTAGATACAGCTAAAAGAAGAAAAAGTGAGCAGAAAGAGACAGCTACAAAAATACTTGCTATCCCTATGCAAACCAGTGATGCTGAACCCCACCACAAATCACATTCAAAAATTAACTCTAAACAGGTCGCAGACCTGCGTGTTAGAGCTGTAACTATTAAACTCTTACAAGGAAACACGGGAAATCTTTATGACTTTAGGCTTGGCAGTGAATTCTTAGATATGACACCAGAGGGAGAAACAACCTAAGGTAAAAAGTAGATAAAATTTGAACTGTGGGGCTGGCAGGTGGCATGGTGGTTGGGGTGCTGGACTCCCACATGGCTGAAAGGAGTTCAAGTCCCAGACCGGGCGGCTTGCTTTCTCAATTTCCCTTTCTCTGTCTCTCTCTGGTCAAATAAAAAAAAAAGATGAATAAAATTAAATATTTAACAAAAAAGTTGAGCTGCGGCCCCAACTTGCCAGAGGGTGTGAATGCTTGTTGGGAGGGAGAGAGAAAGCACCCAGCACGGGGAGGCCATGCTGCAGTCCCTTCTCCTCCCTTTCCCCCTCCTTTTTGGATTTTAGGGCACACCACACGCACACACAACCCGGTGTTTTCAAGCTGTCGGGTCTGAGACTCAAACTGTAGGTCTGTCATGTGGGACTCAGCTGCCTTCACCACCACACCAGGGGCTGGCCCTAGCTTGGATGCTTTCTAAGGACAGAATAAGCCTCTTGGTGGTATGAAATTGACAGGATGGTTGAAAGCAAGACTGAAGGTTACGGTTTGATGTCAGGGATAATGCCTAAGTCCCAGTTACATTTTGTATCCAGCTCATGTTTGTGACAGTGACAGCTGTTTAATCTCAAAAAGTCAAATATATGAAAGCTTAAAGGAAAAAGATGCTCTCACATCTGCTGTGGAGAGGTGGCCGTTGTAAATTGGACAGCAGTCATTTCAGATCTCTCCCTGTCTCTCTCTGCACTGAGCGAACGCGTGGCTTTATGTAAGAGGACCCCTCGAAGCGTGGCATGTGTGGGTCCAGGCAGGCAACCCTGCTGGCGTGGCAGTGCATGTGGGCAGGTGCACCAACGTCCGTGTGCTTGCACAGGGTGTGGAAGAGCACGGGCCTCAGAGCCCTCATGCCTGGGCTGGTCTCCATCTCCCGCTCTATAAAGTGGGCTCTAGCCCTACCGTCCCGGCAGGTTGCTGTGAGGGTGACATGAGTGACCACATGCATCCTCTTGGGGCTTGCGTGACATTCTGACATGTCGGATGCTGTCACAGCAGCGTCTCCGGACATCCTGGGTGCTCGTCTTCTGAGAGGCATGGCCAGGTCCTATTACTGCGGCCAGCAGGCCTGAGAGTGGAGCCAGTGTCTGTCTGCGTTCTCTCCTGGGGACGGAATGGCTCCTTTATGACGAATCCTGTTTCTGAGCGCAGAGCAGGGTCCGTGTGCTTTTAGCGGGAGGTCAGGGTGGGGCTGGCTCTCACATGCAGTCTTTGCCCTCTGGCATCGCCATGCTGCCAGCCCCATCTGTGGGGTCTGTCGCCGGGAGGTCCCCACCAGCAGGAAGGCCGGTTCTGTCGCAGCAAGGCTGCACGTGCCCTGGGGCTGACTTCTCCCTCCCCCACAGGTCCAGCAGTACCGTGTCGCCATGACGGCCAAGGACTGCTCCATTATGATCGCGCTGGCCCCTTGTCTGCAGGATGCAAGGTGAGGCGCTGGCTGGTCCGGAGTGTGTGGTGGGTGAACAGGATGACAGTGGGACTGCGATACTGTGGCCACCTTGGCTTCCTGGGTGACACAGGTTCATGATCCTGCCTAAGACACTTGTGGAAAAAACTGAAAAGGATTGTTCTAGGACATTGAAAATTGCTGTTACTTGTAAGAAAATGCCCCCAAGGCTTAGACGCAGAGTGGACACTGCAGCGCGTGTTCCAAGGTCTGGGAAGGACAGGGGTCCGTGGTGTCTGTCCCCAGCCTTCCACCAGGCAGCCTGTGGGCCGACTCCCAAGCCCAGAGCAGCCCCTGTGGTGGGGCCTCCTGAGCGCCAGGGCTCCCACTGGGATCCTCCTCCGTGTCTCAGGAGCTCATATGGACGTGTGACCTCAGAGTAGTTAGACCCACCTGTGCCGTTCCTCTCCAGGGTGCCAACCCTACACGGTGTTACAGGATGTCTGCCTTCTTCCGACAGGCCGTGCAGGCCTGGCTGACCGTGGCGCTGGCTACCACAGCTGCCCTTTTTTCTGATGCCTTTGAAGCATAGTCCCAGGAGTCCCACACATCAGAGGGCATAGAATGGTCTGCTTCCACGTGAAGTACTGGCCTTTCATAGGGCACCATCAAAGTGCAGAAGAGGTGGTTTTTATGCTGTCCCTGGACTGTTTCTAGTGTTCGGCTACACGGCATCCCTAGCTGGAATGAGCTAGTGTTGTCAGGAGAGGAATCCTCCATGTCCTTCCTGGCCAAGGGTATAGGGTGCAGATGCGTACATGGGTGCTGGTGCTCACTTCAGCGACCAGTAGGTGGGCCAGGGAGGCCACAGAGGACAGATGTGTGTCTCCTTCCCACACCTGTGTGTGTGTGGGTGCAGTGCACCGCGGTGTTGCCATGGAAACAGCCCGAAGGGGAGTGTAGTGCCCTGGTGCTTGTCCTGCCTCCTGCTCTGCAGGGGAGAGAACAATGTGTCCAGAAGGTGCTGAGCCATGAGATTACACAGACTTGGGGTTGGAGGTGTAGGGTTTATAGCCTGCAAAGTGCTCCTTCTGGTCCTTTTCGGACACAGAGAGAGAGAGAACATTTCTGGTTTAGTTTAAAAAAAAAAAAAACAGGAAAAGGCGGGGCCAGCAGGTGGTATGGAGGTTGACGGCTGGATTCCACGTGGCCAGCTGTGCAGTTCAAGTCCTGGACCTAGCAGCTTGAGAATCACACCAAGAGTGTGTGTGCCCAGAATCCCGAGGCGAATGGAAGAGAAGGGACTGTGGTGTGGCCATCCCCCCAGGGTGATTTCTCAAACCCCTCTTCTCCAGCTTCGGTGAGCGCACGCACCCTATCGCAAACTAAAAAAAGTGAAAAAGGGCAAACACTGTTACTGGCTTGGAAGTGGCAGAAGCAGAGGCAGGGAGGGCATTCCCTGCCAGCTGAACCCCACGCCTGTCTTTGTCCATTCTGCAAAGATTCGAGGGGAGCGGAGACACCTGTAACAGGCTGGGATAAAATGGGTGCCTCATCACGGGGTCGGACTCACTGAGAACACACCTTGGGGCAGGATTCCTTTTGCATTTTTTAAGATATTTATTTAATTTTATTATTTTTAGTTTGCTGTAGGGCATGTGCACTCACCAGGGAGAGAGAGAGACAGAAAGTGAGAAAGCAAGTTAGGTCTGAGGCTCGGACCGCGGTCGGCAGTGTGTGCTCCAGCACCTTAACCACCATGCACCTGCTGGCCCAGGGCATGATTTTTTAAAACTACTTTTAATTGCCAGTGGGCATGTGTGAGCACGTGCACACCCTGTAAAGGGGAGAGTGGTCACCCATGAGTCCTCGTCACCCATTTCTTTATTCTTACAGGATCTGGGATGCATATTCAGGTGCAGGCTTCTCAGGGACACAGGAGTGGGAGCTTGGGAGACTCAGATAACAGGGGCTGGGCTCTGCCCTGAGTCGTCTTTGTGCCCTGGAGGAGCAGTGAATTAATTACGCACACAGACAGACGGGCCACTTAAACTTAGTGCCCGCCTGGAATGGCGGCTTCCCTGCCCACTCTGCTGCTTCTGCCTCACGATGAAAGGAAGCCCCAGATGAGGCCTGCCATGCTGTCGCTGTGCACTTTTGACTTTTTGGGAATTTGGAACCCTGAGGAGAGCTCACGCCCCCTTCCTGGATCCTGCCACCCCCTGGATTTCCTATTCCAAACACCATGGGGTGGCGGCTACCAGCCTTGGCCTCTCCACCCCGCCACCAGCATTCTTGGAGGAGCTCAGCCCCAGCCACCCTCCTGACTGGTCAGCATCCAGCACAGGCTGTTCCCCGCAGACGAAGGCCGTCTGGTCCTACATCCCAGGGATGTGTCCGCTTGGCTTCAGGACCACTGAGACACCCGGGTGCTCCAGCTGCTGCCACTGGGGCTGGTGTTTGAGCAGAGGTCGGGCCTCCAGCAGCAGTGTGAGGTACTGCCTGGAAGACCCTTCCTCTATGTCATTTTGTTGGGAAGTTGCTGTGTCTTTTAAAAATACGCAGCCCTTGTTGGGGGCCAGAGACACAAACTGTCCTGGCCCCTGTGCTGAGAGTTGGTTCAGACCCAGCCCTGAGTGGTCGGGCTTCCACGTGAAATAAACCACTCACCCTTCCAGCTTCCAGGGAGTACTCAAGGCCCGAGTCTGTAAACGAGCTATTGCCGCTGTCTAACTCTCGACAGTGGGTAACCACCCAGCCAGAGTCGGGGCTCATTTCTCCTGGAAACAGGATTCCAGGGCCCGGGTTACCTGGGGCTGGGGCTGTGATGAGCGTCTTCAGAACAGAATCTGCTCCCAGGCAGGAGCTCTGCTTGCTTCCTAAGTTTGCCATAGGGAGAGAGAGGGAACGTGGAAAGCACCCGCTGGGGGATGGCCGTGCCACAACCCCTTCTCCATCCTCCTCCTGGGATTTCGGGCATGCATGCACATGGGCCTGGCATGATTCTTAAGCTGCTGTGTCTGGGGCTCGAACCGTAGTCAGCCTTGTGGGATCCAGGGCCTTAATCTCCATGCCATCTGCTTGCTGGCCCCAAGAGCTTTTGAAATAGGGTTGTTATTTTATTTTTAAAAAATAATTTTGAAATCTGGACTGGTCACCAGAGTTCTCTTGGGCCAGCCTGAGTTTCTGTGACTGGCGAGGCAGCAGTGAGCGCTGGCTCCAGGGCCTGGACCTGCGGAGGCAGGAACTTGGGAGGTGCTCCCTTGTAAAGTAGGGTTCCGGTTCCTCCAAGCACGTCACGTTCTGGTGTCCATAAAACCCACGGAACTGAGCTCTGAGAGAAAGTGCACAGCACTGAAGACAGGGCCTGGCGGTGAAACACAGAGCCAGACTGCTCTGCGGATGGGGAAGCATCAGGGAGCGTGCGTGTCCCCCAGGCCTTGGAAAGGTGCACACAATCGTCTGTTCTCACACTGCGCCGTGGAAGCCAGATCTGCTTTTCCTCTTCCTTGGGTTTTGTAATGCTTGGCTCATGATGAAATGACTTCTCCAGTGTTTGTTTCTACCACGGGACGTGGGGAATATCACTCACATGTTCCCCGTCCCTGCTTTTCCATTCCCTCAGCCCTTAACCCTCTCTCGTCTGGTGCGGGGTGGTGCGCTGGCCTGTCCTACGGCAGTGCCTCCTTGGCAGGGGCGCTCCGTGCTGGGCACGCTGGGCGTAGCCGGGGGCAAGCCAGCTGGGGTCTGTGTGTCCTGAAACCGCCTTTCACTTGCAGCTCCGACCAGAGGCCTGTCGTCCCTTCGTCGAGGTCCAGGTTTGCCTTCTCCGTGTCTGTGCTGGACCTCGATCTCAAGCCCTACGAGAGCATCCCTCATCAGTATAAGCTGGATGGCAAGATAGTCAGCTACTATTCCAAGGCCGTGCGTGCCAAAGACGCCGCTGTGGTGGCGGCCCGGTTCAAGGAAAGCGAAGATTGCACATTGGTTCTCCACAAGGTCTAACTTGCCCTCAGTGTCTGGAACGGGAACGTAGAGTGAAGGGTGACGAGAGGGCTATTTTCTGATGTGGGGGGCACTCTGGGCTGTGAATGTTTTTGCCTTTCCTCCCTGTTGAGGGGGGGACTGCCCTTGCAGACGTGGGAGTGAGCACTAGGAACGTTTTCCAGGACAAGGAATGCTGGACGTGGTACTGTGTCCCAGGAACCTGCTCCTGAAATGCAAGTGTCCGTGGAGCCCCAGGAGGACACTCTGGGTGCCCCTTCTCCCACCTGGGGCTCGTGTCTAACTCTCTAATGCGAAAGCCTTATTATATAAGACCCAAGGTTTGGTTCTTTTCACCAGACGCCTAACATAGAAAACTTGAATTGTCACATTCATCTTATAGTTTGGACTTTTAAGGAAACACGGATGCCACTGGAACTGTCCCCAGTGAGTTACGTAGTCACTTTTTCAGTACAAGCCACTCATCAGACGAGACTTCAGGTGGTTTCCTGCTGCAGAGCTGACCCGGTGGGCAGTGTGGTCACTGGTTCTGAGCAGCCCAGACTCAGGTCCCTGTGGAGGTGGAGGTGGAGGTGCCGAGGCCCACATGTGCTAGCAGGGAGCACGGGACTCAGGCCAGGGTGGCACCACTCGAACCTGTAACTTCAGGGGGACATACAGCGTTTTCTCCCTTGAAATTGCTGCTGTCGAAGGTGGAAGCAGAGCTGGAAGCAGGCGTGGACCGACAGCTGTGTCTTCCTGGCACCCTGGTGGTATGGGTGGCCGGGGATGTTCTCCCTTCTTCCTGGACTGCACCCTCCCTGGGCTTGCCGCGAGGCAGGTCAGCTCCGTGTCAGGTGCACGGGCCCATGGCCTGCCTGGCGCTGGCAGGCTCTGCTTCCATGGCTGACTCCTGGCTGGTGCTGTGGGTTCTTGGGGTCACCAAGAGTGTGCCCGGCTGCTATGAAAACTATTGGGAATCTTGGCTTCAGTTTTTTATTCTATGGTAGGTTGTACAGACTGATTATTTATATCACTGTTTTAAGGGACTAATGAAGGCTTATTGTAACATATAATATTAGCAAAACCATGGAGTTGTATGAGATGCTATATGAAAAATAAGGAAAATATTTTGCTGATTGTAAATTTTTGTGGGAAATTTTGTGATAACTTGAGAATTATACTTGTTTGAATCAAGCAAACTATTCTAGAACTGCTCGAATGTCTTAATACTGACTTCCGACTATGCTACACTCGGGCTGTTTGGACACCTGCGTAGTCCCTCCCAATCTCAGCGACGTGGTCTCACGCACGAGCAGTGTGAGGGAGGGCCTGGGTACTCCACTAAGTGACTGCTCCCTGGGAGGTGCAGGCTCTTCAGAGAGGTGTGGGGGCTCATGAGTGTCCCTGGGAGGACAGGCTGGGGGTGGGGGGAACAGGCTCGTGTGCACTCCCAGGGAGGTACAGGCGCTGGGTAGAGGGAGGTGGCGGTCAGTGTCGACCTGGCAAGAGGCAGTTGGCAGCACCAGGCTGGGGCTGAGGCCGCCTTCGGGATGTCCCGCTGGTGCTCTGATGCAGTGGGCAGCAGGCGTGGGGCCAAGTGCACGGGTGACTGAGTCCCGCTTCGGAGGCAGTTGACCCCTGCACCTTGAGTAGATGGGCTGGGCTGCCTGGGTCCCCGCATGGACAGGGTGGAAACCAGCAGCCTGCATCTGGGGAGCGGGAGGACACGGGAAGCCCATCGCAGACACCTGGCCCTTGCCAGCCCTGGGCCTTCAGGATCCTCTCTGCTGGTGGGTCCTGCTGCCCAGGCTGGCCACCTCTCTGACCCACCGCGGAACCACCACACACAGACTCTAGGAAGGCCCGACCCACCTGAAACAACGCACGGGCCTTGAAGCAGTGCCGGGGGTTGCCTGCCTGGCAACTCCTCCCAGCAGGGAGCCAGCATGCGGCCCTCTGCGAGGGGAGGGCTTTGGGGAAGGTCCCGTTTCCTGTGTGCAAGGCCCTGTGTGACCAGGACGGTGCTGTCCTTGCAGTCTTTGGGCATTTTAAAAGCAGCAGCAGGGGCTAGCAGATGGGGTCATGGTTATGTTGCTGGACTTCCAAGTAGTCGCGGTTCAGGTCCCAGACCTGGCAGCTTAAAATGCCACACGCCTGTGTGTGCCTACCCAAAATCTCCAGAGGAGAATGGAGAAGGGATTGTGGCTTGGCCATCCCTCTGGAGGTTATTTCTAGCTGTCTCTCTTTCTGTGAGCACACACACCCTATAGCAAAAATCTCGTAAAAACTCAGCAGCACCTATTTTTGGTAGGAGACGGAGCAGAGGGAGAGGACTTGCTGAGAGCGCCTCCGTCTGGCAGAGCTACTCCACAACCCGGAGGAGGCAACAAGGTGGTGCTGCTCCCTAAGAGCTCCCCAGACGGCTGCTGGCTGCCTCTGCTGGCCGCCCAGTGTGAAGGCCCCGGTGGATACAGTCCCTCCTGCACCCAACCACACACAGCTGTTCTTGGCACGTTTCCCCAAACGTTAAACTCACTTTAAAACCATGCCCTGTTAAGTGTATCTCGCATTTTTTACTTAAACAGTGAAATTTTCCACATTAGAGATTGTGTAGACTGTCGTAAGCATGGACGGCTGCTTTAAGGGTGCGGTTGCTAAGTGGGCACAGCGTCCGTGTGTGCGCAGCGCGGTCGTGTGCTGAGCGGGCACAGCATCCCACTCTCACACGCTGGCCGTTGGGGACGAACTGTGCTCTGAGCAAAGCAGCTGGATCAGGCTTTCTAAAGCTGCTTCGATCCCCAGCACTCCCAGCAGGGTCCGGAAGCTGAGTGGAGCAGCGTCTATGACTCCACTCTTGTCCAGCTCCAGGGCTGTAAAGAAAACAACGCATAAAACTTCAAGGTGGGGGCTCTGGGTTTCCTTGACCCCTGGAGCCGCCTCCCAGTCCCCGCCCACCTCATAGTGGGGAGAGCCATTCAGGACGGGAGGATGGGACTGGCCCCCTTCTGCATTCTGGGCAGAATGTCCTCGCCTGCACTTTGGGGGCGTAATCCCCTCTCACATGCATTTTGATTATTAATAAACATGTTTTAAAATGATAAAGTACATCAGTGGAACTTTCCACTGTACGTTTTCAGCATGCAAGGGCAGAGGGCGTCGGCAGGCTTCGTTGGGAATGTGCAGGCGTCACCTGGTCCCGCCAGCCGGGACCCTACCTTGCTGTGGGACTTTGGTGAGAAGATCCAGCTTGGGCACGACCTTCCCCTCACTGTCTGTCTGTATCCTCCAGACGATGACTAACTCAAACCTGGAAGGAGTGACACGTGGGTGAGATGCTGGGCTTCCCTGCCCCTAAACACATTTCTACCCACTGTGAAGAAAAGCGGCCAGTGACCACATTCGGCCCTCACCCGTGCCCACCGCCGAGACAAGCACTGTGATCCGGGTCACAGGTGTGGGCACACACACTGCTCTGGAGCGGCTGGGCGTCAGGAGCCAGTTCCAGGCCAGCGGGTACAGAGGCCGTGGGGAGGGCGGGCCGGGAGTTCACAGTCACAGAGCTCCCACAGACATGTGTTCATGAGAGCCATGGAGCATGGGAACAGAACCTGAGAGCAGCCCGAGGCCGGTGGTGGCAGAGGTGAGGCCACCATCAAGTCTCCACATTCCTGGTTTCTCGTTCTTGTCCTGCCATGTCTGAATAACAGTGGGGTCGCCTTCCTTGGACTGACCCTGTGGACCCCAGGGACACCACCAGCTGCTGGGTTCCTCCCACCCTTGCCATGCTGCCGTGTCTGGTGGGTCTCCTCGCCTCCAGCTTGGACTCGCTCCAAGATACCTTACCCTCATCTTTCACCATCTATAACCTCGCCTTCCCAGGGCCCAGAGGGCTGGAACTGGCACTCACCCAGGCTGGCTGGTGCTGCGGATCCCCAGGCAGCGGGAGGCTGCCCCCTCCGGGAGGTGCACAACGGCTGGGTACTTCTCCTGTTGGGAGGGGGGGTGGTTACAAGCAGCCCCATCAGGGAGGAGCCACAGGCCAGGTGCCAGGTCGTCATCCCAGGCTGAAGACCAGGAGAAAGTGGGCCTCCCTCCGGTCCCTGGGCTGCTCAGTGTAGACACCCTGCTGCAGCCTCACCACTGTGCACACCTGTCCCACCCAGGCCTCCACAGTCACTTTGGCCAACACTAACTTCGTACATGGAGCCCCCATGACTTCCATCCGCCTCCCAGCTGGGGTGACTCTGGGTCTGCACTCTCCCACAACCTGCGTGGGTTCGAGGAGGACAGGCCCTCAAATGCCCGTCCAGCCAGGCTCCCTGCAGGCTGTGGCAGCCCTAGCCACCACGGACCCTCCACCCTCTGCCTCTCTCCTGGCCCCAATGCCCCCAGCCCACACATCCTTTCTGGCCTGCTCCCGAGACTGTGCCTGTTGGAGGCACCTGCTTCAGTGAAAGCTCCTGATGAGACCACGTGCCATTTCAGTCAACAGTACTCTCTAAAGCTGGGGACAGTGGAAATTCCCTGATTCATGGGCTGGCAACTCTTTTTTTTTTTTTGGAGAGGTTTTTGCTATAGGGT